TGATAACACGGAAGGAAACATTTTTATAAAATTTAAAAATAAAATTTAAATTAAATGCAGACTTCTGTGTGTTTTGTATAATTTTGTCTAGAAATTAAATTATTTAACAAATAAATTTTCAAAATATTGCCAACACAGCAGCGCAGCCCAAGCATAGTCGTCTGTGTATGTGTGTGTGCGCGAATTATTATTATTTCCTACTTGTTTATATATGGTAATAGTATTGTTACGTCATATGTAATCGAATAGTAATTTTAATATTAATAATAAATCTAATTATTTTTACCAAAACTTTAGGTTTGGCTATCTAGCAAAATACAAAAATATTATTCTACGGGAGCGAGACCGATTAGCTGGAGAAGTCATCGATATGGAAAAGCGATTGGCTACAAATCGTTACTATTCAGAAAACCTTGAATATATTATTCGAAATAATGAGGACGCGCTAAGTAAAATGGCTTCTAGGGCAAAATTTTCAGAAGGGGAACGTATTAATGTCGAATCCAAGCTACGTGCTCTTATGAAGTCAATGGAGGAACAGAAAGAGGCCCATAATAAAACTATAAATAAACTTGAAATTGCTAATCGGGATTTGGGAGAAACTACTCGTAAATTAAATCAAAAGATGAATGATTTCGATCGACAGAAAGTACAAGTTGATAAATACAAAAGTGAAGTTAATGCACTGAATAAAATAATGCATAAACATGAGGATGATATTAGTGAGCTGACTAAAGCTCAAAAAAATAATGACGAAATAATCAAGCAGTTAAGGCTTATAGAAAAAGAAAAATCAAATGCAGTTATTCAGTTGACAAGTAAATTAAAAAAATCTGTTGAAGATCAGAATAATGCAAGCACACGATTGTATAAACTTAATCGGAAAGTCATGATACTTAATAACGAAATATTACGTCATAAGTAAATATTTACCCTGAACTTATACAAAAAATCCATGTTTTCTTTTTTTGTTATTTTTAGAAATAATATTAATTCCCTTGAGAAAGATGTTTTAAACGCAAGTGGTCGCGCAGATGACATTCGCCGCATTAAGGATTCTTTACAAAAAGAGCGAGATAGTTTACGTAGCGAGATTATTAAATTAAATAATTCTATTGCAGACTTACGGCACGATATGATGCTTAAAACTAACATGATCAGTTCATTAAATTTAGATTTAAATAAGTTAAATATCAGGCTAGATGAAGCATATATTTTAAAATCTAAAGCAGAAAAAGAACGAGATGAAATGGCCCAGGAAATGGAAACATTGCATGAGAGAATAGAAAGTTATCAAGGTAAGAATACTTTTGAAAAATATACATTTTTTGCTTGTATAATATGCATTTCTTATACCCTGAAAAATTGTTATTGTCATAACTCCAAATTTAAAATATATTTTCAGATAATTGTTATATATTCCGTTAAGTCAATCGACGTTAATAAATTAACACGTGCAGCAGCCACACTGTGCGCAAACATATATTAAAATATATTATATTACAATCACATATTGCGATTGAAATGCTGGCTGCGGCTCTCCGCTTCCTTCGACGTGCGCTTCGTTCGGGCGTGCACGACCCGCCACCCGAAACCATCCGTACGCTTTGACCTAGATGCTCCTGGCATATATCACACCGTCACTCGCGGAGAGTCTCCTGGGCTGGCATCTGCATAACGCTTCGGCGCTGGCTCCGCGACTTGAGGCAGTATAGAATTGATCCGCCCCGTTGTCCCCTCTCCTTGTCTATAACCGTCGCAGCGGGTTCGTCCTCCTCGCTGGTGGTCCACGGCGTCGGGTTGGCCTAACTCTCTAATCCTTCATGCGGCATGGTCCTCCGACTCCGAAGCGGTTGGCGAACCGGGTATCGGTAAAAAGCCCGAATTTTTGGCATAAATTGTCCCTGAATAGATAAATTTGGAATACATACTATTACCCTGAACCCATTGAAAATGGGAAAGAGGGGTATAATGGTTTTGTGTAAAAGTATGTAACGGGCAGAAGGAATCATCGCAGAC